GAGCACACGTTACTGAGGTTTTGAACGGCCATGGCAGTGTTTCGTCCTAGAGAGGGAAATAACTCTGTGTGTGTCCAAGTGTGCAGCATTCACCCAGTACTAAACTAACCTCAAGTAGTTGGATGTTATTGTTGCATTACTGTTGATTTGGGGAGCAAATCTGTAAATGGCTCTTCTCTCCGTTTGTGGATTCTTAGTACATAATTAACAGAGCATCATGCACGCTAACCTAAATGCTGATCAATCCTCCTAGCTAGTGGTTCTTAAACTAGTGAACTTCTATATAATTAAAGATGTGAAAATACAACTTCAACTTCTTGCCCTTTTCATCTGCTGTCCCTTCAGGCTGTGTAATAACAAACCTATGTACAATTCCATTTCAAGCTGGAAGGAGGAGTAGGGTTGGACTTGAAATATACTGATGTTCATGACTTCTGTGTGACCTTCAGATTTCCAGAGTTTAGTATCTTGATTCAAGTGCTACTAAAACTCATTTCTGTTCTGTGTAAAATCTGAGAACAGTAAAAGCCTATAGCTAAGCATTCAGATCAGCCCAAACCAGTATTTTCTGCAAGTGGAACATCTGTTCTCTCCTTCTGTCTGGATTGTGATCAATTCTATCACACACTGCAATACATTATCTTAATATTGTGTTTTACATCTGTAATATTACTTCTTTTCATGTTTAACTCTAGTAGTGCATCATGTTGGTAAGACTGGCTCTTGACTTACCTTAAACCTCTGATTGTGAAAATCCCTTGATTTTTCAAATAGGTGATATAATTCATAACTGCTGTTTCTCAAGCCAGATACAATTAACAGCCAACTGGATATATACAGTGACCTGGCTCTCCACAGCTAGTTTTACAACTGTCTTATGGCTATAGCTGGTACTTTCCATAGTAGATGATGATTTGTTTGAAGACTCAAACTGTGAGATGCTGTAATTAAGACAAGTGGAGGATTTGTGGATGGATATCTAAAAAGATTTGGATGATGTATCACAGAAGCTCCTGAAGTGGTGACTTGGGAGAAGAATAAAAATATTACCTACGATATTATTATCTGTCACAAAGTCTCATCAAAATTAAACTGAAGTGTGTCCGACTATTGCTATCTGAATATTTCCTTAAGGTTATATTAAACATGTTAATTTTTAACATGTCGCAGAAACTTCTTTTTACTTGAGCAGCAGTAACTGACTTGTTCTCATGTTCCCATACACTTATTTGATATTGCCATACTGGGAGCTCCATTGTACATATGATTCCCCTATCTACGGCTATGTGCCTGAGTAACGGCCTTGGTCTCCTTTGGTGTGATTTCTGGCTTCTTCCCCTGAAATATCAAGTGTGTACTTAGTATGTACTAAATATATAAATACAAATACGTGCTCAACTTCTTTTCTTACAGGTGAGAGCTCAGCATCTCCAAGAGCTTCTTTTGATACAAGCATCAGATACAGATGAAAGATATTGCTTAAAATCAGTTATGATTGGCTTTTGTGTTATTGCTCAGTTTTTTTAAAACATAAAAAAAAGCCACCCCAGCAGCAGTGATTTATCTTAAGACTCAAGGGTTTTGTGTTGGTGTTTACAATGGCATACCCAGAATAGGTAAAATGTACACCATCAGCCTCTTTTACAGTGAAACACAGAATAGTTTTGGAAAGTATGTGAGCAGTTGCAGTTAAAGCATGAGGATAAATATAGCATATGTCAGATGGAAAAACCTTAAGAACGTGGGAGCTGCGAACTATCGTTTAGTAGTCAGTGGCAGTTCTGTCTGAAAGCAGTGTTTCTACTCAGCTGTAAAAATACTGTTAGATGTGAGTAGCTAGGGAGTGGTGAAGTGAGAGTGTCAGTTAAGGAGCAAAAATAAGCAAGAGTTCCCTAGAAGTGTAGGCTAAAGACGCTGTATCTTACCTCTGAATGAATAATACATGATGCTTTTCAAAACCCTTGTACAGCATTTCAACTTCTTTCTTTTTCCTCTTGCTTGTCTATGTTCCCTTTTGTAACTTCAGTAGGTTGCCTCTGAAGCTCTGTGTTAGCTTCATATCTCAGTGGTAATAGTGACTCCTTCGAAGGGCATGTTTGTTGTGGTTTGAACCCAGCTGGTAACAAAGCCCCACGCAGCCGCTCGCTCACTCCTCCCCACCCCGGCCATGGTGGGATTTGGAGAAAATATGAAGAAAGGCTCGTGGGTCAAGATAAGGACTGGGAGGGATCACTCCCCCTTATGGTCACGGGCAAAAGACAGGCTCAGCTTGGGGAAGAAACAAAATCAATTTAATTTACTACAAGTCAAATCAAACCAAAGATATTAGGAAGTAAAAACCAAACCTTAGAACACTTTCCCCCCACCCCTCCCTCCTTCCTGGCTCAACCCCACTCCCGGTTCTCTCCACCTCCTCTCCCCGGCGGCGCAGGGGAACAGGGGATGGGTGTTGGGGTCAGCTCCCCACACCTTGTCTCTGCCGCTCCCTCCTCCTCAGGGGGAGGACTCCTCACTCATCCCCTGCTCCACCGTGGGGTCCCTCCCATGGGACACAGTCCTTCATGAACTTCTCCGAGGTGAGTCCTTTCCACGGGCTGCAGTTCCTCACAAATTTCCCAGGCGTGGGCCCTTTCCACGGGCCGATCTTCAGTTACAGACTGCTCAGTGTGGGCTTTCCCATGGAGTCACGACCATCTTCGGGGGCATCTGACTGTTCCAGCATGGGTTTTTCCACAGGCTGCAAGTGGGCCTCCACTCCCCTGCTCACCTCTATGGGCTGGGGGAGGACAGCCTGCCATCTCACCACGGGCTGCAGGGGCATCCACCTCCTCAGGCGCCCTTCCTCCCCCTCCTTCTTCACTGACCTCAGTATCTGCAGAGGGGTTCCTCTCACATTCCAATCCCCCTACTCACTACAGGTTTCCCTTCTTAAATCTGTTCTCCCAGAGGTGCTACCACCATCACTGTTTGGGTCGGCCTGGGCCAGAGGCGGTGGGGGAGCTTCTAGCAGCTTCTCACAGGAACCACCCCTGCAGCCCCCTCACCCACTACCAAAAAAACCCCCACCACACAAACCCAAAACAATGTTAAACAAAGCAAAGGTAGTAAGTACCAGTAGTGGACGATTAATTTGAAGTTAAAAGAGGAGAACCAAAATATCAATATTTTTTCTCCTAATGAACTAGAAAAACATCTTAGTATAGTAATTTGACAAGTCTGAGAAGTTGTTAAGTTTTCAGCAGAAAAAGGTATTCCTTGCTATAAACAATATAAATATACCGTGATCCATAATATCATTGAGCTAGTTTGTGGTTTTGGAAGAAGTAAGATATTTCTCTTAGATATATTTTAAAAGAATACTTACCTTGCTAACAGCACCATTAGTGAATATTCTAGGCATGTTTGATCTTGCTTTAACCTGCCTGGCTCAGTGCAGTGAACAGCCTTGTCACTGCACAGGACATGGAGCTGACAACAACCCTGTGAACTACAGCAGAAATGAGTATGATCACCCTCAAGTCACTTCCTGCTCTTTCTCTGGTACCGATGCATGAGGAGTTATAAATTTAGTAAGAGGCACAGACACTCTCAAAATACCCTGGAAGAAAATCAGTTCTGCTCCCAGACATGTGACTTACTTACTTACATTTTTATTGTAGAAGAATTTTTTGTTACTTCAGTCAGTCCACTTCCTCTAACACCAGAGTCCCTGAGCAGAAATCACTGAGCTACAGCAGTCATCAAGTCTTAGGGTAGACTGAAGAATGAATGCATAATAAATTAACCAGAAACCATGAAAACCAAAGCTAGCCAGTGTAAGAGAGAAACACACTACTAAATATGCTCTCCAGAGACTTTGACTTAAAACCTTACAAATCCATTTTCTTCCCTTGCCAAAAATCTAACAGAACTCTTGCTTGTAAGCTGAATCAGTAACTCCATGCTTTCAAATAGTATTTAATTTTTTTCTTGTGGACTTTGTAATCATCCTCCACAAAGTATGTGGATTAACAGACTAAATCTCACTGAGTTGGCTTTCATGGCTTTTAGACACACAGAACTAAAACTTAAAATATGCTACAGAACTGGAAAAAAATCTGTACTGCCCCTACTGCTTAACTTTTTTTTGCAAATAAAAAAGGTCAACATCAAGCTTAACCTAACTGACGCTCACAGTAGCAGGAAGAGTAAAGTATTTGAGTGACAGGAGCAGAAAAAGCCTTCTCCCCATTGTCTGTGGTATCCCAGATTTGTCGTTCAGCCCTGGGAAAGCTGTGATGTCAGTATAGCTAAGATTCCTTTAGTCTGAGCTGTATAAATCTTAGACACCTTAAATATCTTCAGCTAAGCTGGGTAAACAGTCTAAAACAAAAGCTAGCAAGCAGGAGCAAACTTTTGCCTAACACTCATTGTCATGCTTTAAATACCAATCTGTTGGATTAATAAAGTTGCTGGATAAAAGGAAATAATTTTCATTCCACAATTTTTCTGTAAGTGTAAATTTTGTTATCTAGTTCTGTAGAAGCTTTTTATATTTTGCTTACATTTGCATAAATGGATAAAACACTTAAGGATTGCGTTAGCTTTTGAAGAGACCTAGGAAAGCTGAGTACTATGTACAAAATAACCGGCAGGGTCAGATCAATAGTCTGTCTGTGGCAGCAGTGATGAGAGATGCTACCTGGGGACCAAAGAAGCACGGCTGTCTGCAGGCCATGTCCCTTCTGTTCCTCTGCCAGCCACAGCAGTGAGATCAGCAATATTAGGAGATACATTCTTGGCTTTTCTTTTTCATGTCTTTTTCAAGAAGTGTGGGCAACAAGTTCACAGACAACGGCTTTTCCTAAAGGTACCTGCATAGGATTCTTGACTGTGGGTCTTTTTTCCCCTTCTCCCATATTCCCCAAGTAAGATTATAGGTAGTATTTATAACATGTAATCAAAGTGTTAGGTAGTAGCAGTACCTAATGTCTCATCTGCTTTTTTTGTGTTTTCTTAAACAGGAAGATGAACAGAACTTAACAGCACTTTAGGACTTGACTTCTGATGGGCTGGATCTTTTCTTGGCAGGAGTTTTTGAAGATTCATGCAGTGAAAGAAGAAACAGCCAATGGCTTCAGAATCCATGGTGCCAGAGCAGGCAAAACAACATCTGGTAAAGGGAAAAAGGCGGCAGCAGCAGCAGCAGCAGCAGCAGCAAACTAGGTCTTCCAACAGTGATGGTGAAGATGACATCTTTGTATTTGAAGCAAATGAGGCTTGGAAAGATTTTCATAGCTCTCTTCTTCACTTCTTTGAAGCTGGAGAGCTCTGCGATGTTACACTGAAGGTGATATTGTCACACATCCATTTCATTTAACAGTCGGAAGATTAAGCTACAAATAAGTGTGCTGGAGGTGGCTGTGAATTTAGGCAGGGGTATTGGAAGCCATAGAATACCTGTTGGATCCGAGGTATCTCTAGATATGCTCATGTTTTGTTTTTTTTTCTTATTTAGGAAGTTTACAACTGAAATGTAAACATTTAAGATATTGACAGTCTGAGAGAGGAAGTACATGACTTTGACGTCACCCAACTTGCCTTCTAAGCAAGTTCCCACAGTTGATCAGTGTATTACTGTGCAGTTTCAGCTCCTTGTAGCCTCTTTGTTCTCACACATTTTGATCCCCAATTTTATCTCTATTTTTGCATTCTGTGTTGCTCTGCTAGATCTTCCTGGCAAACAGGATTTCTGCAACAAATCCAACTTCCAGTGTTCTCAAAGAAAGGAAAAAAAAAACCCAAAACAGGCAATTATGTTCTACAGTTGATCAAAGAGTAAAGGAGGAGGAAGAAACCAGTTTTATGATTCTTGCATAGCATTGCTTTAATGCATTCTTTGTAACTCAGCTGTATATTACTTATATCCTGATCACAATAAATTTATATCTAGCATCTGTAACAGTGGTTGCCAGCACCTACAAATATTAAGTATTGCTTAGCTAGACATCTTAGTAGTGCAAGATAGTTATTTAAGAAAAAGAGATGAAGCATAGTTCCGATACCAAGAACAAATGACAGATGCCTTTAAGAGAAATTGTTTGCCTGCCACTTTTACTATTAGATATTAATAAGGAAAATCCTTGACAGATGTGTGTCTCTTGTGCCCCCCTGGTAGGCATCTCATCTTTCTAAAACGCTTGGGAGACAATGGAGATCTCTGAGAGGAAGAGGGTTTCTGTCCTGCCCCAGTAGACAACAGGAGTAGAACAAGCAAGAACATTTTTCTGTTCTGCTTTGCAGCAGGTATTAAATTGCCTATCACCAGCCATGGAGCAGGCACTAGATGCAGCAGCAAATAGGTCCAGTGCCTCATAACAGTTGAGTTAATGCTCATAGGACACTGAATGACAATACTGAAGCTGCTCCGGCCAGCACGAGCACCATGAAACAGAACTTGCCTGAGCTCATCATCAGGTCTTTTTACATCTTGTCATTTTAAAAGGTGTTTTGGGGAAGAAGGTTCATGTCAGAGCTCTTTAACAACCTTCCTCTCTTCCCTTTTCTTGACCTCATCCTTGCTTTTCTCCCTTTCCACCCACCCTTGCGAAAAAGGCAGAAAGTCTTATTTTATAAACGTAGTTAAACGTATACTCGTGCTAGGGAGCTTGGCTTGCAAAATACACTTTACTGTGGCTGCAGTTTAACTTCCCCTGAGTTAGGCTTGTATTGTTCATATGTATTATTTGTGTGAAGCTACTTCAGTAATTTAAGAATATTAGATTGCATGACTTGACTTCCAGTCCTCAAGTAGGGAAGATAATCTATGGAGGCTAGAGCAACCTATGTATGTACATCTTACCATAAGGCTTCCTAAAGCAGTGATTTTCAAGTAACTGTTAACTCCGTCTTGAACTAGAATTTTCTGGAGGGCTTGATTTTTCTTTCTCTAGCGCTCAGGCATTTCTTGTGTTTTAAGAATAATTACTTCTCTACTGAACTTTCTGCTTTTGTGCGTGACCTCTGATAGTGAGCAATTCTGGCATTGCTGTTGTCAGACCAATTATTGATTTAACTGCTGGCTCTTAAAATATGATAGTTAATAACTGGAGGCCAACTTTGATTTCAAAATACCAAGAACATACTAGATATTTAAAGTTAAGCAGATTTGGGTAAAATAGTGAAGCCACTTAATTCAAAAGAAAGATGCAATTAGGGAGTGGGATGATGGACAGAATAACAATCTCTGAAGGTGAGAATGGCCTAGGAGCTTTTCCTGATATAGCAGGCCAGCTGGTACCATCATTTTGCATCAGTACTATAATTAGTTGGAATGCTGACATTGTAACAGTGATAAACCATGGGAGACTTCCTCTGCTCCAGAAAGTTAAAATCTGGAATATCACCTACTGTACTGCTACTGTCATATGAACAGCTCCCTGTTAGAAGGCGGAGAGTGGCAGTTGCGTACCATCTATCTGCTTTTCTCCTGTTGGTCTGCTTTTTTGTTTGTTTGGTAGGTCTATGAATTGTTCATTCTGGAGTGATCGAATTAACTCACACTGAGCCATCCATCTTTTCCTCTCTTTTAATGTCCATACTCTTTCATGTGTGTTTGCTTTCTGTACTCAACTTACTGGTCACCAGGCAGGTTACACTTGTGTTGATAATACACACTTTTAAAAAGGGTAGAGCAATTGTGTATTGAATCAGAGGTAGAAAAAACTCCAAATTCTCCGTTATAATTTAATATCCCTTTTTTTTTTTTTTAAACTGCAAGACAGCTCAGTGTAACACTTTCATCTGGAAATGAACATGTAATTCGAGTCTGTCAGGGAAACTGGTTGCTTAACTTGGCCATGTGCTTGTTAGTGCAGACTGCAGAATGACAAAGGCTGTAAGAAAGCACTCTTGTAACACCAATAAGTAGTAGATTGTTCATTTACCTTCAATAGTTACATTGTCTTGTAATGTAATTGAATTCTAGAATTTTGTAAGTGAAAAGCTTATTTTGCGCTTTCTGATCAGAATTTTGAAAAATACCACATCTTTTGTGGCTAAACAGCTTCTAAAAATCCTTGAAGTGATTGGTAACTCTGAATAATCCCTGTAATAGCTGTTATTACAGTAGTTTTACATGAAGTTGCTTCTATAAACAGCATTATCAATTCCTCAACACTAGTAAAAGTCCAGAGGTTTAAATTAAAAGTAGTCTAAAAATGTCAGTTTACAATTCCCTGCCCCCCCAAATCTCTGAATACACATAAACCAAACAAGTGCCTAGCAGTCTCCTCCTGTCTCCAGGATGTATCTAGAAGGTTCTTAAGGATGTTTCATTTAAAAAATAGGACACAGCTCTTAAAGAAAAGCAAGTTCAGTACCTCAGTGCTATTGCTTCCTTGTGTTATTGCCTTGCCCTACTCTGACGGCCAAGATACAACTTAGATCTGTTTGGGATACATTGATATAATGTCAGAAGTACAGGGCAAGTGGAGTTAATTTGTTTGAACAAAATACAGTAGCTCAATGCATACTGAGTTCAGAATTCTTACCTCAGCCTAACTGTCTCTCCTTTCACAGCTGAAACTGACATTCCAGTAAAAGACTGGGTGTTTTTTTGTTGTTCTATTTTCAGGTTGGTTCAAAGCTTATCTCCTGCCACAAACTGGTGCTAGCTTGTGTTATACCTTACTTCAGAGCCATGTTTCTTTCGGAAATGGCTGAAGCCAAGCAGACATTGATTGAGATCAGGGACTTTGATGGAGATGCAATAGAAGACCTAGTGAAGTTTGTGTACTCCTCCCGGCTTACTCTGACGGTGGATAACGTCCAGCCTCTCTTGTATGCTGCTTGCATTCTTCAGGTGGAACTGGTAGCAAAGGCATGCTGTGACTACATGAAGCTGCACTTCCATCCCTCCAACTGCCTGGCAGTCAGGGCATTTGCAGAGAGTCATAACCGCATTGACTTGATGGACATGGCTGATCAGTATGCTTGCGAACATTTTACAGAAGTGGTGGAGTGTGAAGACTTTGTGAGCATGTCACCACAGCACCTCCATAAACTCCTGTCCTCCAGTGACCTGAATATTGAAAATGAAAAGCAAGTTTACAATGCTGCTATCAAGTGGCTGCTAGCCAATCCACAGCATCATGCTATGTGGCTGGATGAAATACTTGCGCAGGTAGGGCAGACCAAGGTACTGGGCGCCTGTCTTGTCACTGGTTTAGTTGTATAATCAACTGTTTGTACTTAGGTAGATCTCAAGATGAAAAATATTCTTAGCAGTTGGTGCCTCATCTGGTATTCACAGTTGTTCAGTTGACAGTGGAAGCAGGTTAGATCTCTTGAATATTAGGAAGAAGTTGTATTCTCCAGTTTCTGTAGAGAGAAGAGTACTCACTTCATGCTCATGGCTGGGGGGTAGGGAGCCAACAAAAAGCTGTATCTGTGGTAGAGCAGAAACTTCTTAGATTTACACATAGTGGAGAACATAAAGCCATCACTTCACTTGGTTTGATGCTACTACAGCCTGAAATGCTCACTTCCCCTGCTGGTTAAGTATTTGTACTTAAGAAAGGAGAGTAAAGCTGTTGAGGAGGTTTTTTACATGATTAGGAAAGTAAAACTGTAATGGAGATGTGTCACATAAAGTTGTGCTAATTCTAGAACTTTCTGTATATTTAATTAACAAAAGACCAAGATGTATTAGCCCTATGAGCAGGCTAGGAAGCTGTTGTGGTTTAAGCACAGCCAGCAACTAAGCACCACAGAGCCACTCACTCACTTCCCCCCACCCAGTGGAATGGGGGAGAAAATCGGGAAAAGAAGTAAAACTTGTGGGTTGAGATAAGAACGGTTTAATAGAACAGAAAAGAAGAAGCTAACAATGATAATGATAACACTAATAAAATGACAACAGTAGTAATAAAAGGATTGGAATGTACAAATGATGCGCAGGGCAGTTGCTCACCCCCCGCCGACCAACACCCAGCCAGTCCCCGAGCGGCGATGCCTGCCCCCCCCCAGTTTCTATACTAGATGTGACTTCCCATGGTATAGAATACACCGTTGGCCAGTTTGGGTCAGGTGCCCTGGTAGTGTCCTGTGCCAACTTCTTGTGCCCCTCCAGCTTTCTTGCTGGCTGGGCTTGAGAAGCTGAAAAATCCTTGACTTTAGACTAAACACTATTTAGCAACAACTGAAAACATCAGTGTGTTATCAACATTCTTTGCATATACTGAACTCAAAACATAGCACCGTACCAGCTGCTAGGAAGACAATTAACTCTATCCCAGCTGAAACCAGGATAGAAGCATATGCTGGACCCTTTAATGCTCACCAGACTAGCACTGCTGGTTACCTGTAGGATCGGAAAGGAGTTTGGAGTTTAATCGTCTAGACTTGATGCAAATCCACTGCTTCTGAAAGAAGGTATCAAAAGGTCACTTAGCTGAACTTATTTAAACACCCATCAGACCTCCTCCTGTCAAAACGTTAGTTACTTCAGTTATTCAAGCTCCATATGTGCTGGTTATAGGAGTTTAAAATACAGTATTTGAGACAGGTATGGAGAACCTGTGCTGGGGAGGAGGGGGGTACATGCCATGTGCTGCAAAATGCCCTATGTATCTTAGCAGGTAGGATCAACTGTGCTGTTTCAGTTGTCACTGAACTCCAACTTAAACATTTTGCATTTAGCAGAATTGCTAATATTGGCATCACGTGAGTAACAAGAGGTGCACTAACATGCTGCTGTCATTGTCTTCTTGCATCATTTTTCACACTTCCTGGAAAAAGATCACAACTGTTTATTAACTGTCTTCCAAAAACGTTCAGTTTCATCTAGACTAGCATGAGGTTTTAGGTACAAAAAACCCACTTCAGTACACTGTAATTAAATTCACAGGCAATATAATTTGAGATTAAAAAAAAAAAGATTGATTTTTATTGCCCAGTTTTGCTAGCAGATGAGATTAACAGCTTTATTCTATTCAGGGAAACCAGAGTCTAGAATGAAGCAATGAAAAAGTAAATGCCTTCCTGTAAACATGGGTTATTTGCCAGAGTATATGGAGCCATCAGTTGATTTGGACATTACTGCTAGTAGAAAACATGACTGGGCTTCTTGACAGTTCCTATCTACATCATAATCAGCCATACAGGTTTTGCTGTTATAATGAGGTTCTGAATTTGTCAGCCTTGAGTTCTTACTGCATCACTAACCTTATGAGTATTAGCAGGGCTACGGTGGTGCTTTTAATTAGCCTAAAATAAGCTGGGCCACACTAAAGGAAGAAGTGGGACTGAAAGTGAGTGGGCAAGGAAGAAGTGGTAGAGACACTTGCTTACGTGAAGACAGGGACACTTTGTCAGCCATTTAAAACCACCATGCTGCTGCTCTGAGAAGCACCAGAGATACTGGACTTCACCATTGCTGCTGAGCTAACTGGGAGCTGCCTGACAGCATTGACTCCAAACCTTAGGAAGTCAGATGGTGATTTACTTCAGTCCCCCCCCCGCTAACACCTGTCCCACCTTTGCATCTGTTTGTACTTCATATTCCTCACTGTTTCACAAGGCCAAATGAAAGGCTTGGTGAAATAAATTGACTGTGGGGAGGAAGGCATTTCAAGGCAGTCTTGGAGAGGCTGACCTTATTTCAGATCTGCCCTGTCACTGGGGATTGCTCTGGGCAGTGACCACCTGTAGCCTTACCCTGAGCAAGCCTTCTGTTCCTCAGCCTGGTCACCAGCACTCTTCTGGGGAACCACAGGAAGGATTCGAGGAAGGAAACAATTAACTCTCAACCTTTTTTTTTTAATCCTGCAGTCTTGTCAAGTCCACACTAGAGAAAGGTGTTACTGCACTAGCAATACCTCCTTAATAGACACTTAGTTCATGCTGACAGTGTTTCCTTTTTGACTTGCCACCCAAAGAAAATGAACCATTCTAGCAAAAGCCCTCTATACACTGGTACAGCAGTGAGCTGAAAATTCATACCCTCGGAAGACTACCTGACACAGACTATTCTGGTACAGTCACAGATGCTGCCTGTGTCACGCCAGGCAGGCGCAGTTGCAGTACAGGCAGCGGCACTTCTTCCTCTGCTCAGCCTGGGCCAAGGGACAGTTCTCCACTGCTGCTTAAATGCAAATGGTTGTAGCAAACGTTTCTCACTAAAAAGAACTGTTCATATCACTGTTATTCTGGAAAAAAAAAATGAAAGCTGCTCTTTTTAGTGAAGAGTGTGGGGCTGGCAGCTGGCTCAGAAGCTGCCATCTGTTATGCGTGCATCACTGTAAATGGTGAGACTCAGTCAGTTCAGCCAGTTACTCCAACTGTGTTCATTTCTGTCAGGTACGGCTGCCTCTCTTGCCCATTTGTTTCCTTATGGGTGTTGTGGCAAAGGAAGAGATTGTCAAGCAGAATCTAAAATGTAGGGATTTGCTGGATGAAGCAAGAAACTACCACCTTCACCTGAGCAGCAGGGCAGTGCCAGACTTTGAGTACTCCATTCGCACAACACCAAGGAAGCAGACTGCTGGTAATTAAATGTGTGTCTGATTATCCAGTAAGGAGTGTGGAGAAAAGGTGGTGCATCTTGCAGGCTTAGATAGCTTGATATAAATGGTTGTTAATGACTTAATGCAAAATTGTGAAAGCCATTGTGTACCTCTGGTAATTAGGAAATGTGCTGCATTTTCCTAGCAGAACGTTAGCAGTCATTTTCTTTCTTTAAAGCATTATTTATTTGTCATGATTGGCTCTATCTGTATTAAAGCTAGAACTGTTAAGTATGTTACGACCAGGCAGTATGCTCAAAGTTATATCAAAAACAGTGGACACTTATCTTTTGGTGCGAGAAGGTTGAGCTAACTTTTAAACTCCTTGGCTAACCTACACCAAAAGTGACTGATGAATATTAGACTGCAAATCCTAATTTTTACATTGTTACCTTTAACAAACAATCTGTTCATCACCCTAAACAAAATCACAAAAAGCGTATTTAAAATATGCATTGTTTTTGCAAGAGCATAGATAGTTAATTGCCATAGCAGCATGCCAAGCAAAGGCCAGAATCCAGCATCCAATTATACAGGGCAATGACTGTGCCCCTTGAAGTGAAATACCACTTCTCCTGGACTACATAATTTTCAGTTCACTCTGCTATACAACTTTATCTGCCATCTTCCTGCTGGTTTTCTGGAAACCCGTTTTGTCTTCTTCAGGTGTGCTGTTCTGTGTTGGTGGTAGAGGTGGATCAGGTGATCCATTTCGCAGCATTGAATGTTACTCTATCAGCAAAAACAACTGGTTCTTCGGCCCTGAAATGAACAGCAGGAGAAGGCACGTGGGTGTGATCTCTGTGGGAGGTCAGTAACCCTATTCAAGCAACCCTATTCAAAAGGCACTTGTTTGCTCCTTTTGCTGGAATTGGTACTTCTACTAAATAAATCTGTCTTGCAATGGCTTAACTGTTGGATATTCTTCAGTTTAGTAAAGCTTCTTCTTCATGAAGGGGTTTCTGATTCTGAAATTATCTGAGAGCATGCTTACTGAAAAGACATTACTGTGAACTGAGAAAGTTAGGGTTGTTCAGCCTGGAGATAGCTTTTTAGTAGGGCCTGTAGCAATAGGACAAGGGGTAATGGTTTTAAACTAAAAGAGGATAGATTTAGACTAGATATAAGGATGAAATTTGTTACAGTGAGGGTGGTGAAACACTGGAACAGGTTGCCTGGAGAGGTTGTAGATGCCCCATCTCTGGAAACATTCCAAGTCAGGTTGGATGGGGCTCTGAGCAACTTGATCTAGTCGAAGGTGTCTCTGCTCATTGCAGGGGGGCTGGACTAGATGACCATTAAAGGTCCCTTCCAACCCAAACTATTCTATGAACTGTATATAGCCTCTTGCTTTAATAGGCAATTGAATTTTTTTTATTCCATTTATAAAGAAACAGCCTTACACAGCAGAGTCACCCAGCATTTGCTATCTCCCTTCATACTTAAATCCATACAGGCAAGTCACTAAGACCATAACTCTTCCAAGAGCAGACCTACCTTTATTTTTGGGTCTCCATCTTCTGAAACCAAGTCTGTGCAATCTAGAGCAGCTTAGCACCCATGATGCAACTTTTCCTTGTACATGGTAGCCCCTGTGTTGCTGCAGCAGAACAGGTATCTTTTTATCCCCATAGAAAATCTGGAGAGACCGATACAAATGTCCAAAATTGATCTGACTTGCAGTACTGAAGTTATGGGAAGATCTTTTGTCTACGTATCTCAAGCTTTGTGTAAGCTCATGTTAAAACAGATCTCTGGTTGAGTACAGCATGTAAAAATATAAAGTCTGTACTTATTAAAATCCTGATATTGAAAACATTTGAAAACTTTGTTTGAGCTTTTGTCTTCACATAGGCAGGGATATTGCATAAGTGAAAACTGAAATGTTGCCAAGCAATCTCTGTACCAAAAGATGTGTTTGTGTTTCAGGTAAAGTCTATGCAGTAGGTGGGCATGATGGAAATGAACACTTAGGAAGCATGGAAGTATTTGATCCTCTCACAAACAAGTGGATGATGAAGGCATCAATGAACACAAAGAGGTACCTGTCTCATGATCCAAAACATAAGTCCTAGTCTGTGATGTATCATTTCTTGCTGATGCTGAAAAATGTCATGTCTGTCCTGTCTTTATTTGGGTTTCCAAACTGTGTTATTTTTAGGAAATTTGTTTTCCTAGTTTGGGGCTTTATGCTATCAGACACCTTTATTTACCACCTGTAAAGCAAACACAAATCTGCATCACATACTTGCATACATCACATATTTGCACAAATACAAAGTTGTGTGTAACGTAATATTTCACTGCAAAACTGCATAATCCCTCTCTCTAGGGAGAGGCCCTGGCTGGTAACATTGGTTATGTTTATGCTTTGGCTTTCTTTTGTTGCTCTATCCTTTCCTTTTTTTCTTTTTTTTCTTTTTTTTTTGGGGGGGGGGGCACAGGGGGGCTGGCTTCTGGAGCGGAGAGCTCTTCTACTCCAGCTGTGCTTACATTCTGATATCTAGGGCCTTTCTGCTGTGCCCAATAAAGAACTTGAAACTGATTAACTGGTTCTGTGGGTTTTCTGCTCTTTTTAAGAATGAGCAGGATAACTGCCATCAGAACATGCACAGTGAAATATTTCATGCCCAGGAAACAATAGCTGCCTATGTTCTTGCCACAAAAGGCCAGAAGCACTAAAACACTGACAGTCAGATTGAGGATTTTTCTTGCCTTTTGACATTTAAGATTCTTTTAAGGAGCTACTGGACTCACAGATCTGTATTTTTTTTTCTGCTGTCATTTAAATCAGCCTCCATAATTCTACATTCCATTTTATTATTTGTTGTTTCTAAAAGCATCATGTACAAGTAGGAGTAAAATACCGGGTTTGGCTAAGTCCTAAAATTATTTGTAGCTGTAACCTAATCAAAATAGAAGACCCACACTACTGGAAGTGGCTTCTTGCTCCTCTTCCTCCCTCCGTCATGCCACCACCCCAGGGCATATTTCTGGCAAACATCAGTCCTAGACTTCTGTGACATTTCTTACTCAGTACCTTGGTAAATGAAAGGGCTGCCGTGCCTTGGCTACGCTCCACTCCTCCCATTCGCTGAGGTGGTGTTGGAATACTTAGTTGACAAAAAACTGCCACCATTGATGGTGTCTATGCTAACGGCTGAGTAGAAAGATTGTGCCTCCCTTGCCCCTGCTTAGGTATCTGTGAACCTGCCCTCTCTGTAATGAGACAAGAATGTTCTCAGTGAAACGGTAAATCATCTGTCTTGGTAGTTAAAGCAGAAACTTAATGCTCCATTCACTTAATAACTCCATTCTAGACCATACTTTTCATTTTGTAGTAGTGACTGTACTTTCATATTAGTAGATTCGGTAGAAAAAAATCTGACAGCTATTTTAACACAGACTTAATAGAAAATAACAGAATGGAAGAAACTGCAATTAAACCTTGCTAGAGTTCTGTCATCTAATATCCAGCTCAGGTTTGCCTTTTAATATATATTAATCTCACCCCCCAAAAATCATTCCCAAATTGTAGCAGCAGCTATACCAGTTAAAACCAGCAGGTTTTGGTTCTCCATCAGATTCAGTAAAACAAGATAGGAGGTGTAAAATTAAGTACCAAGACAGCGATATCAAATAACTAAGACAATCTCATATATCCAAGCATGTAAGTAGAGGACTTGGGCCTTAGGTGACATTCAGTCAAAACAATATTCCATGCACCCCACCTTTATTATTTTTTTTTATTTTTTAAACAGGAGCTTTGTCATTTTGCAGTCTAAAAAAATTCTAGCTGCAGCAGTCCTAACAAACAGGTGCCTTGGAAAGCTGAGGTGAAGTAAAGATAAAACTCTAGAGTCCCTCTAATGGGAGGCTGCAAACATACAAAAGGCTTTCAGGATAAAGCTGCAAGACTGATACAGGCGTGCAGAGGGCCAGCCACAGTTACTGGTCATTATTTATTATAAACTTCACTTTTAAAATTTTCATGACTTTTTCCCCATAGTTTAAAACACGTGCCAGTCACTTGATCTGTCTTTCCCATTCCCTTTCCTTAAGGATTTGCACTAAGGTATTGATCCTATGGTTTTCTTAGGAGAGGAATTGCTCTTGCCTCCCTTGGTGGCCCCATTTATGCAATAGGAGGTTTAGATGACAACACTTGCTTCAGCGATGTGGAAAGATATGACATTGATTCTGATCGATGGAGTGCAGTTGCCCCAATGAACACTCCCAGGGGAGGAGTCGGCTCTGTAGCCCTTGTGGTAAGTGACTATTTCCTCCCAAGTCAGGGCCAACTGGGGAACTGACCTGCTTTTCAAATCTGCTTTTACAAGGTGGAACACAAGGATTTTAAACAAAATGCACCTGGTGGGTCTGAGCACCTCCGGTCATCAAAATTCTATGGAACTGTGCAAAAGGTGAGGTATTTAGGATAATACTCATAGCAAATTGAACCACGCTCCCTGTTTCAGCCGTACTTGAGGTGCTGGGAGCAAGTACCAGGACCCTTCTAACAACATCAGGCTAATGCTTCACGTCTCATTCAGAAGACTCTGGTTTGTCATGGTTACTGTGTTTAAAGGTACTGAATGCATCTGCACTTTAACTCCCTTCACCATATATAATCTGCAAGATGTCTACAACACTATGTAACTTTTTCACTTCTTTAACTGGAAGATGGCGTTTACAATTTGTTGGATAATTAAGTCCATTGTTGGAATTATTAAATAAAAGTAAATGATTAGGACTGTGTGGATATACCATGTTTTCCTATAATTCTAACATTGCTTATGAAAAGCTGAGTAAATACATATACATTACAAATAATCTTTCTCTATACAACTGTTTCCCAGAACCATGTTTATGCTGTGGGTGGCAATGATGGTGTAGCATCTCTTTCCAGTGTGGAGAAATATGATCCCCATTTGGATAAGTGGACAGAAGTGAAAGAGATGGGTCAGCGAAGAGCTGGCAATGGTGTCAGCGAGCTCCATGGCTGCTTGTATGTTGTTGGTGAGTAGGGATGTGACATTTTGTAGTGCTGTTTCTGCCAAGTATTGGCATTTGGAAGAGGCTGTTTTTGCTAGAGGAACTGGGGAACAGACAGACCTGACCTGTACTTTGTGTTCCTGGGCAGGAGAAGAAAGCAAGCACAACCAGGGCATGCTTAAACGAAGGTATGTTAGTGAGGAAATAAAAAGCAGTTCCTAACCCACATTTAGGGTGGCCTATACTGTTCAGGACAGTATGTCTATATAGAAAATCCTCTCGAGACTCACTAATCTTGAGTTTCCTTTTAGGAAAATTATTCTGAAGTTCACGCGCTTCTAAAGCACTCTAGTTCCATTTTGAGTGTAGACAACAGTAGCTTTTTCACATGGTGATGATACTTATTCCACAGCCTGTTGTCCCAGGCCTGTCTTGTTCTGCTCTACCTCGCATTTACCTGCTCTCCTGAGGGGGGAGGTTGCCAGGTAGGTATGATGTAGTGATAGGTTGCAGAGCTCTGCCTTGTCTATTATCATAAGTGATTTAAAAAGTTTCAAGTAAAATGCTCATCTGACAGCTGCCCCAGCAAGGGGAATGCATCACTGAAGTCTTACTTGAGGATTTTTTTTTCCTACTCAAGTATTCAGCAATGCTGTAATTTGAAAACAGCGCAAGAGTGTGTTTTGCTTAAGCCAAAATAAGATCAGGACCATCCTTTTACTGGTCTTAGGGGTTTTTTTCGATTTCAAATTAGAAGCTGTTTCATTGTTACTATGTGTAAGATGAATTCAAGGAGAAAAATAATAGAAATACCACTCCTTGCAACTTGAGCAGAAGAGAACTGTCACTCTGGGTGATACAGGAGGGAGAGCTGTTAATTTTTAGGAACTTGTAAAATTCATGTAAAGAAATAGAGCTGGACACTAGCCCACTGAATGCTGAGAACAGCATGATAATGCCAGTCTTGGATATCACCAGCACTAGGAGTGGCTAAAAACTGATGATGTGATGATTCTTTGCAGGTGGCTTTGATGACAACTCTCCACTGAGCTCAGTGGAGCGGTTTGACCCACGCAGTAACAAATGGGAATATGTAGCAGAGCTTACAACTCCGAGGGGTGGCGTTGGCATAGCGACACTGATGGGTAAAATTTTTGCAGTTGGAGGTCATAATGGCAACACGTACCTGAATACAGTGGAAGCGTTTGATCCCATAGTGAATAGGTAATTTAAAATTTTCTATTTGGCTTAGTAAGACAATGAAATTTGCCTATGTGAAAACACAACATAATAGAAATAGTGTGCAGCAGGAGTTTGTCTGTTGTTTCCTTGTAATAATTGAGTAGTATCCATGACTAGTGATGCAGGAGTGCTGCTTATGCCACTAGGTTCTTGTAAATATTTAAGTACCTCCTCCTCCTCTCCATCCCGTACCCTCTTCCCTTCATTCAATAAGAATCTACATTCTTCTGGTTGTTTCAGTCTGATTTTGCACTAAATTTACCAGAGAAATAAGAATAAACTAGCAGGGTGTATTTTTGTGCACAGTAAACAGCTAGGCTGTATAACAGAATTTCAGACACGGAAAAGAAATACTTTCAAGTTGCTCAGAAAGGACAGGAACTTACTTTTATTTTTTTCCTCTGCTGTCTTCTTAGATGGGAACTCGTCGGCTCTGTGTCACACTGCAGGGCAGGGGCAGGCGTGGCTGTGTGCTCTTGTCTCAGCAGCCAGGTCCGGGATGTGGGCCAAGGATCCAGCAACGTTGTTGACTGCATGTGAGCTCTGCTGCCTCCTCCAAATTCCAGAGGAATGATAGTAGGGAGGCACTGCAGAGCTTTCAAACACCATGTTTTGTATGGTAGGTTAAGAAATAAAACCAACACATTTTCTTTGTGAAAATGTTACCTTCTGCAACTGTAAAGCTTTTGGTGGCTTTCTATCAATAGTGATACAGAAAAGCCTGTGAAAACATGGAATAAAAGTGGGACTTACAGGAGAAGACCTGCCAAGAGCTGCAATCATCCCATTTTTAAGAAGTTGCAATTTCAAAATCATTTGAGGCAGCTGTTGCAAGGACTCATTATTGAACCATAAACCAGGCATGGGGTGAGGTGAGAGAGCGGCAGTTAAGACTGCTGAGCCTTACCCAACAGCCCTGCTACATGTTTTCTGGAGGACTTGAGTGCCATTTAATATAACTTATTTTCAGGAATGTAGTCTTAAACATTTCCTAATTGTGCAAGAGCTTTGTAACACAAAACACAAAGTGTCTCAAGTTTTAGAAGGTAATGATACCCCTGTTGCACACTAAGATAACTGGAGCAGAGAAGTTCACTGCCCACCTCCCAATGGACTTATGGCAGCAGTGGCAATTGCAGGTACTTACTCTGAAACCTGTCTTTCAAAGTACTTTCTCAAGCTAACACACTTGTTAGAAAGCTGAAAAAATTCTTGACCTGAGTTTAGCCACTGGAATACTGGAAGTTTCAAGTCTTCAAAAAAATTTATAGTAATTACTCCCCCAAAAGGCAAGTTTCTGTTGAGAGGTCATTCCTGAAGTAACCAGTGTAATTTGTCCTACTTTGAGATGATACAGTGTATGAAAATGTAGGCTTCAGTGGTGTCTGAATCACCATTTTCATATGAAATGGAAACATAATAAAAGTTGCGGTATTCTGTAAAGACCTTTAAATGCAACTCTAGAAGATGGCATGTCCAATTTCAGTTTCCAGTAGCAACTCTGTGGTAATTCTAGAGGTACTGGCTCTTTTTAAGATAGTTAAGCCAGAAAGATCTAGCCTCAAAACAGGTAGATGACTTAAAGCTCACATAAACCAAAGAGAATCGGCAACAAAAAGAATTGGAAATTAACCAGTTCTTACATCAAAAATTGAAATAGGAGGTTGACAAGGCTGTGTACAAAGACATCTTGTTATGCAGTCAGACACCCTGAATTCCACGTAAAGTCCAGCTGGAAAGACTGCAGATTCTTGTTCTGGCATCACCTTGAACAGACCAACAACTGACAGTCCTTTGCGACCAAAGTTTCACGTTACCAGGTTGTTACAAGTGACTAGGGAGAGCAGCAAACTTCTCTGCATTCAGTACCAAGTGAGAGGCAGGACAGTACGAGCATAAGGCATAGTCATGTTTTGCTGTCGAGTTACCATAATTTAGCTTTTCTGTTTCAAATGGCTTGCACTTTGGTAGCACCCAGGGTCAAAGTGAATGGTACTGTAAATAATGAAACATTGCAATAAAACATTTGTACTTCAAAGCACCTTGTTTATAGTATGACTGGAGCATGCTACTGTGGGGAAACATTTGAGTATTTTTTGGTTTCTGCAGAGTGTAATTCTCAACAGGAAGCCTTTATCAGCAGGGAAAATCCTGCATTAGAGCCATGAGCCATACCACCCTGCTACTGGCCTTGTCCCCATGCGAGGATGCGGTCACCCTTGTGGCTCTTGATCTTGCTAGAGGGGTGGAAAGAAGAGGTGCAGGTTCCCTCTCTGGAACCAAACAGGTTCTTCTATGGATGTCCTAGCTAACGAGAAAACTTAAGAAGGAAAAAAATTAAAAAAGAAAAGAAAAAAAAAAAAGGCAAGTTTTCCACAAAGTAACGCTGACCATGAAACCAAGTAGCCTGGCAGTGCTGCTTGCCAGCTGATACATTTCTCCTCTTGGTGGGAAAGTGCTAGCACCCACAGGTACAGCCTGTCACTCACGCATCTGGACCACACTGACAGCAATCAGCTTCCAGGCACCAAAGGGAGGCATGTGTGTTCAGCACGTTAAGGTTACAGCAAATGCACTGGGATTCTGTACAGTGTGGGAGGAGCTCCACTGTCAACCCTGTAGCTGGAAGTCAAACTATACTAGGTCTGAAGACAGTCGTAAGACAGACACTTCTGTTGTATTTCAATTTGTGCACCCTGCCCCCCAACATTTGTGCTCAGGCTTCTGGAGGCATATCTTTTAGGGCTGGCAGGAAAACTGCAAAAAAGGTTTACCAGGAACAACCCTGTTGCCAGTATAGTGGTGTCCACATTATTAATATTAGATGGCACCAGAACTACAAATATTTTGTGCAGAACTGTTTTTAGGAACACTTGCTGGAAATGTGATAATGATGTCAAAGTATATTAAAAAAAAAAAAAGTATAGGATTACTGTGGCAAGAAACCGTAATGACTTACCTGCATATAAAGCTGTTGTGATTTAACGCCAGCAAACTCGGTTTTCTTCTTCCAGTACTGGCAACAGGACAATGGTAACAAAGAAGTAACCTCCCCCAGGCTGGGGAAACAGAGCAGCCTGCCCTGGTTCCCCGTGGTGAGGCAGCCCTCCAGTGGCAGCAGGCCCTCACTCCCACTGCCTCCCACTGCCTCTTCTAATTTAAAAGTAAACTCGGGATTTGCAATAGCAAAGTCTTTAAACATTCAGGATCATGAAATCATTGCATCTAAACATGATGCACGTCTCATCCCAAATATGGAATTGTTACTGCTTCTGTTAATGATGTTTTTCCTGTATCCTTGACCTCACCCATAAAAATCATAAACCCAAAGGTGTCTATTAGTACATCCTTTAAACACAAAGAAAAAATAATTTTGGAAGAATCGAGTGTGGTTATAGTTACATCAAAGTTCCCAGCCTGCTGATTTTAACCATGTCATGGGCTTCCTGGAAGAGCAGGACCAGATTCTGGACCCCTCTTGACCAGCCCCCTTGGCCATGCATCTCCAGTCATGCGTGTGCAGCCAGTGCTGACCAGCCACCCTGCTGCTGCCCCAGGTTCTGGGACACGCTGCCTCCCCATCTCAGCTCTCCTGCTGCCCCACAGCAGCCCTCAAGCATGACGCTGCTCCTCACCTCAGGACTTGGACCAATTCTTCCCAAACCATACCGCTGCCAAGGGCAGCGCATCATCTGCTGTGCCTTCCACAGCCATGTTTGTCTTCAGGAAATTTTAATCTCAGCACTTTTATTTATGGAAGATCAATACAAAGACAAAGATTTCCCTTCAAGTTAGATTTCTTATCACTACATTAAAATAGTAATTTCTGATGATATTTTTTTCAGGACATGCCATAACACCATGATGATGCAAGGATCTTGCATGTATTACTGTTTATTTCAATTTTGTAAAATACGTCCTTTCAATAAAATCTTAAATTCATATCTTACTATTTACGTTTAAAGTGGATTGTGAGAATTTGGTTATACTTTCACAGCTTTGAATACTTTTTTAATATTGCTCTTCCCCAAAGGCATCTTATTCCTAATAGAGCCATGCTTGCAGCAAAACTGTTTGGCTTAGACATTCTGCTAAAATATTCAGATGTGGACAGAAGACTTCAGAAGGTGATGCACATGCTACTTGCATATTTTAAAACGTAAACAAAATATATGCATGCATTCTTACTCCCATCAGAAAGACTACAGACTTTCCTCCTGCTGAATACCAGCTGAGAAAAAATTATTTCACTGAAATGTCTGCCTGTAGAGGGGGATGCAGCCCAGCAAATAACCAAGCCTTCGCAGAGGGCTTTGCACACACTTCTATTTATGCCACATAACCAACAGGTAATCAACCAATGGCCTCGGGCTGCTGCATGGAAGCAGGAGGTAACAATGACCCCAGCCAGGCACTGGAGGGATCCCGTGTCTGTCTCCAGGATCTTCTTTCAGATGTGGTGGGATCTGGGAGCAGTTATTCCAGTGTCAGAGTTGTTAACCTGTGTAGCATGCACTCATGTAGGGCAGACTGAACATGTCAGAAGCAATTTATTCATCAAAATCAAGGAAATGCTCTTGCTTGTGATCTGGAAAGACACTTCTTTATTTAGAGCAGTGGAAAGGTAATTAAATAAAAGCATGACTGGTAGCAGATTCTGAAACCAACACTCAGGCTGAACAGCCTCTTTCTGCTCAATCTGACTGCATTCAAGTGCTAGCAATAGAGATGCAGACTAGCAGCAATAAGATTGTCAAAGCCCCAGGAAATTTTACGAGATCGCTTTGCTGCTCTGAACTTTTCTGTGAACTTAACTAAAATCAGGTTGCCTTCCTACATCCTGACTGCATGACTTCAGTTCTGTGTCTTACCTCCACTTGCAACAACATTTTAACTCTGGAGTGATTCCATCTCTTCTAAGCGTTGGAAACGAGGTGCATGAGAAAATTCAAGTCAACAGGCAAAAGCATTTACAAACAGCAAACACTGAGGAATGGGAGGCAGGCCTTGCTGACTCAGGGAAACTCCTGAGTAAATAAAGGTTTGTTAAAGGTAAAATTGAGTGCTCAGAATGCAACACTGATTACGCAGCTTCCCAACAGCTCCAGCCCAACGTAACTGCCCTGAACCACAACGAGTAACAGAAGTGGTTGCATTTACCTCGTTTTCTGTGTGTCCGCTCTGTCTGCCAAGACAGCTGCAGGATGCTCAGTATGATCTTGATGGGACCACAGCTCCAACACAAAATGACACCGAGATTCATTTTACAAACAAGTTGTCATCAGGCGATAAAAATTCAGCCAATTAACCTGTCCAAGCTTAATTAGAACAAATGCCTGGAAGGTCCGTAACTCCAGATTACTTCCACAGTTAAATAGAGCTTTTTAGGCTGAAACTGCTTTTAAAACTATTTTCAGCATCGCTGCAGTGCACAGTTTTGCAAACCCAAGTACTTTATTCCAGATGCTCCACTTAATTTTTTTTTGCTGGCTGCTTTTATCACATCTGTGTTTGTTTTCTAAACCTTTGCATGTTCTCTCGACTGGAACTGGCAGCAAATAAAGCA